TCAAAAGGGACTTGGCACGTGTTGTCGCTTAAAGTTTGACACGCGCCGTCCTGGATGGCTTGTCCTGTTTTGTCTCAACATCATTTGCCAAGCCTAGATGTGCTCACCCTTGGAGAAAACATTTGTCGCCCACAACCCGAGCCGATATTTTTCATAGCGGCAGGTCTGTCTGTCGATGGCCCAAGGTTTAGAATCCAGCTGAAACACTTGACAAAGCCAGCTTTCTAGAGTCAGGGACTGGATACGCACCGCCTTACTATGTTTGCTTGTAGGGACCTCGCACGATACTACTCTCATGACTCGCGAGCTGGGAAGCTTGATTGTTGGTTGCTTCGAACCAATTGCTTTGGAGAAGTCAACCGGACGGGGCAGGGCACCGAACGCTTGGCTTCATGCCCCTGTCCCTCCTCATGAAGAAGCTTGGTCGATCACTGGCAAACCGCACACCCACCTCCTGAACCCTACGCCAAGAAATCCCGCCAGTGTAAGCGAGGAAGGGGAGGCGCCCGCTAAAACGACGATCATCCAAATTAGCCTGCTTAGCCAGTGACGACACAGGTGAAAACGAAAAGGTCGCCGGGAGCGTGGCTGATGCCCGAACGAACACCAGTCGCACCAATACGACGACATCATTGCACTGCCGGTACGCCGCTGCTCGTTGTCGCGCAAATCATATGAGCTTGGTGCCAGAGCTAGGAAGTACCTAAGCCCAACATGAAAACACAAGCTTATTCTCTTCACTGAGCCTAGTGTCCAATTACTATTTTCACATCATTAGTAGAGAATGTGGCCAGCACAAATTAAGTACGCGGAGGGAGGTTTTCTGCGACGGGTTGAAACGGTTTGGCGTAAGAACCAATGAGCAGGTGGAATGAATGCAGCATTTTGGCAATCGAGCCTTGAACCGACACATTACGAAAATGTGAGCAGATCACGCATAGAATTCAGAAGCCTCGGATACGGTCTGAAGTTCAGCATCTCAAGATTTCATCATGGACAGGCAAGAGGTTGCATCGCGTTGTACCAAAATAATTATTTGGACCGATCTCGTCTCATCGCTTGTCCATCAAACTCGAGAGCAGGCGCCGGATCAGCTCTGGGGTAAGCTATTGGAAGCTTCAGAGGCTTGCAGAGTATGTACACACATATGCAGGCCACAGAGACGAAACCAGGATGGAACGAGAGTTGAGCACTAGGAACGGTTCTGGCACCGAATAAGGAAATGGTGGTCCGGAACTCGATGCAGCGCGGCGGCCGGGATGGCACGCTTGGCTCAAGGTTCCAGGTTAGGTGGACGCCCTATCTCGGCCGGGCGCGTGGAACTCCCGGCGCCGGAGAACATCTTTTGGTTGATTTGGGGCTAAGGTCACTACCGCCTTGTTCGGCGAACTTAATGCACGATCCATTGAGATGAGTGTGAGTGAGCCTGAGGGCAGGCAGAGGTTTAGGAGCGGGAAAGGGCACGGTCGTTAGAGCCAGGGGACATGTCTTCGATGGCATCGACACAGGCAAATGAGACCCCACGAAAGCCATGCTTAGGGAGCAGGGCAGGGATAGCGATTTACAGTGACTGATACTGATACAGATGGTGCTGTACGTACCACTACCAGCCGGCCTATCGACCGTTTGACCACGGGGCGATCACGGATATCCTGGCGCATGGCCAAGCATTCTAGCACACACACTCGTGGATCTCACTCACACCCATACGCCGAGCGCTAACTTAGAGATGCGTGTGCATGTACCTCGGTATCCCACACTCCACACACTCCCTCTTGACCCAAGACAGACATGCAAACCGACCCTCCCTTGCTCAAGATCAACATCAGAGTCGTCACAACATCTCCTTCATGAGTGGGGACGTCACTGCCGGGGCAGATGCTCAACACAAACTCAAGAGGTTAGACCCATCGAGCGGCATCAGGGAACCTCCCGTCAGCATCCTTCAGCCCTTGCCCTTGCCTATCGTCTCCTTTGTGACCCTGTCCAGTTGCCAACGATTTCCCTCGAGTCCCAGGATTTGAGCACCGGTAGGGCTCCACTCCCAATTTTGTGACAGCTGCGCTTGGAAGGCCCTTTTGGAGGGGGCGTAGGCGCATCAAAACAAGTCTACGGTCCTCAGATCTGATAGACGGGTCTCCTCCACCCTTTGACAGGTTCCTTTTCCCACACCAAGGACTTACTTAAGTTCCCAAGTCCCCGACTATTTCGCATCTAGCATGAGCTTCTAAGAACTCTTCCCATCGAATACGACTTTGGCAGTACAAAAGGCTCATCATTAATATTTGCCAGTGCCTTTCCACTTCCCACCCATAACATCGCCGATATTTATCAGACACGAGACTGCCTTAATACTGGTTACTTGACTTGACTGCTTCGATTGCTTCTACTAGCAAATCCTGATTAATCCCGAGACCGCCCGCAAATGCATACAGCAGCTGGATCTTTCATGCCTAACCAATACAATCAACAAGAAACACCCTTTTTTACTCGACGCGACCAGTATCAACCTCCTTCGCCCCCAATGGAGGAACAAAAGTGCTCTCTACCCTCAATCTCGAACCTCTTGGGTTTGGCCGATGCCGGCTCACCCACGAGTGAGTCCTCTCCAACTTCACGGCAGCATTCTCCTCGCTTTGAAGGTATGTAGTCTTCATGATGACCACGAGGGCGGCTCGCTCACAATTTCATAGTTCCTCCACCTTCACATGGTCATAGCCGAGCTGGATCTGAATGGGCTAAGTCATCGCACCGTGGGCTTCCCCCTACACCACCCATGAGCACAGATGCATCTTTCGAAGGCTACAGCTCCCCCACAAGGAAATCATCCAACCAGGCGTATGCAGGCTCAGCACCAAGACCATACTATTACGAGACTACACCACCTCTAGAAGCCGATGCACAGCGTCAGGCATCAGTACCAGCTATTCCTCGAGCAACACCTCCAGCAACGGCTCCTTATCCTCAGCAAGCTCACCCCACGGTATACGCCAACCCAGCACCAGTGGGCGCTTACTACCAGACGGCACCGGTGCCTTCTGCCGCCCAGCCTCAAGAGATGAACCCTTACTACCAGCGCCCTCTCCCACAAGCTTATCCCCCACCAGTGAGCATGCCGGCACCTGCTCCTTCGGGAGCTAACCCGTGGCAGCACCATCACTATCTCAACCCAACTGGAGCGGCTGCATTCCCGCAAAGCCAGGATCGGTATATCTGCCCGACTTGCAACAAAGCCTTTAGCAGACCCAGCAGTCTACGAATCCACAGTCACTCGCATACGGGAGAGAAGCCCTTCAAATGTCCTCATGCTGGATGTGGCAAGGCTTTCAGCGTACGCAGCAACATGAAACGTCATGAGAGGGGCTGCCACAGCTTCGAATTTAATGGATCTGTGATTCGGGGTTGAGGGATAAACGTGTCGGACGACGAGATGGTTCTACGAAGAGGGATGAATGCCGAAGAAAGTTTGAGATGATTATGCCTCACGGAACGAGCATTATTACAACAAGACCTGGATGGATGGATCCGGTCTTTTTCACTTGTTATTGGGATGGAAATCCTGGTTAGACCCATGTCTAAGGATTGCCGGGCTTGGCGTCGCGGTCAACTGGGGAAAAGTCGGAGGGAGGAAAAGCTACATTCTCTTCTCGACGCTGGTCTGTATTACTGGAAGTCTGGTGTATTGTGTTATTTTATTATTGTATTCCTTTGGCGGATACTGTCTGTTACTTTCTTGGGAGGCAGCTATGGTCATTTTAGACGGCGCAGAGGTGGAAACTGGCTTGAGAACCTAGCGAAGCATCGTGCACGGCGTTTAGTTTACTTCTGTATGTTCTTTTATCGGCACGCGAAGAGATCGACTGATGAGAGTCGATGGAGATAGCGAGAGGTTGATACGATACACCTGAGGCAAGACCAGGGAGGCTATGGGGCCATGAATATCAAAATGTTACAAGATCAAAGCACAATCGTTGCCCGAGATGAAGATGTGAATCTGGAGTCATGCAGACATGAAGAGTGAAGGGGAGTATGTAGCAACGGAGTAAATTAATTCGGTCTAATGCTCTACCGATGTCCACGTACGCCGACCAATAGGGATATTAGGAGAAGTGGCCGAAACGGGGAGAACTATGATACTAGAAGGTGAGGAGTGCGCAGCTTGGACCATCAAAGATGGAATCGGCTGATAGACATGGATGAGGCGACCAGACAAAAGAAGGAAGGACAGACAGGACATGGCATGACAGGCAACGGTTAAATTTGAGCATGTGCTATTATTGTTATTATCATTAATGTTACTGTGGCTATTGCTGTCTGTTTGTTGGCTGCAAGTTCAAAGGTACCGCTGCCATAGTTATGCTGCTGATTGTTGCTTTGCATTTGCGGGTGAGACACCACGAGATGAGTGGATCTTGATTGGTCTGAGAAGGGTTTGACCGCTGCAGTGATGACGAGAAGATCTCCCTGCAACTGCAACTGTAACATCAGCTAATGAATGAATGAATGAATGGCAATACCTATTCAGTGCATTCTTGGTCGTTCATTCATTCATTCAATCGATCAATGACTCCATTTCCAAGGACCTTGGAAGCATGAACGGGTCTCAGAGGGATCCATCCTGTTGAGCGAAGTGACGTCGTTGACTCGTGCAAGACGATTATACGACGTTTTTGAAAAAGAAATGGAATTATCTATCCGTACTGCGACATCATCTAACAAGAGCCTGGAGGATCCCTGTAATATCTGGACACCTACAGAGCGAAAATAAAAGGTGCCTGCCCCGAGGGATCGGGTCCCTTTGTCATTGATGACAAGTTGGGTGGCTTGGACAAGAATGGAAGGAAGTCATCGGGGGATGTGTCGGCGCAAATATGAACTTGGAGAGAAGAAGCACCCAAAAGAGGAATGCAATAGGTAAGGTAGGTAAGGTAGGGGTAGGGTAGCTAAGCAGCTAAGGTACCTACCTACCTACCTAAGGAAGGGAAAGGAAAGGTAGGGGTATGCTAAACCTGGGGATCCCTCACCTTCTGCTGCTTCTGCAACTGTTGCTGTTGCTGCTGCTGCTGCTACTGCTCAAATGTCAAGGCTGGGCGGACCGGTTCGGGTTGTTACTCCGCCTGCCTCGTGTCTTTTCATGGTCTGTGTGTGAGAGTTGACCTATTAATTAGTAGCGAGGTAGTCAACTTGGGAGAAACTGACTGTTGGCTGACTTGGTCTTGGTCTTGGTGAGTTGTGACAGGGGCAAGGGCAAGGTATTTGATGGACTGGGACAAGGGCTTGAATGATCGACTTCCACATCCATTCTTTTTCTCTGCGGTGCTCGGTAATTATTATTAGTACGTGACTACCTACCTACTCAAAATTGCAGCATAAAGAACATTGCAAATGAGCGAAATGAGCGGCATTGAATGCCTCGCTGCACATCCTGTACTTGCAGTGCATGCTCTGTATGTATGCATGTTTGCAGAGTTGCAATTGTGAATGTAACCGGAAAAGGGTATAGTCATGCACAATTAATGGCGATCTTCAGTGGGAGGAAAAAACAAATAAGCTACTGTTCCTTACCCTCCGTAGTGTTACCTCGGACACAACGCGATAGGCCATCTCGCCTGAGACAAGCGGGTGATACTGATTGACTAGCATCGGAGGAAATAACTCGAGATTGACCTCGGGGCTTGAGCTGGGCTGGGCTGGGCTGGGCTGGGCTGGCTGGGGGAGTTGAATTGAATTGAATTGGATTGGATTTAATCAAGGGGCCACGGCCACGAGGAGGATTCCTAACAAAGCATGGTGCAGATCCGTTAGTCTAGTCCATGGTTTTCTTTCCTGTCCCATCACTAAGGTAAAGTACCTTGAGGCTTGAGGTAAAAACGATACTAATCAGTTAGTGCGTGTGAGAGCCGGAGGTCAGTGAATTGAAGGGACGTCGCAGTCAGCCAGGAAAACGGCACAGACCAGAAGCAGGACCATGACACCGGATGATGCTGTCTCTTTAGCACGGGGATTTGATCAGGCTAGAGTTTAGTCCACGGGCTGGGCTGGGGGAGGCTGAAGTGATTAATTCCTTTTCGGCTGACCTTGCGATAGCCTCAAAGCTTTGTTTTGGACTTCAATGCGCACGCGCACGTGTCGTGTCACAGACAATCTTCAACGCTTCGGATTGACAATGCGACGGGTAACCCGTAATTGCATGAGCCCAAGCACGTCCACGAACTTGCAAAAAGGAAATCACAGAGAACCTCGGACATTTTCTTCTTTCATGCTTCTACGCTTTGACTGTGGTCCAGCTCAAAGAAGCGGTGTTATCAGCTTCATTCAGTCATTCAAGGGGGGATCCCATCAGAGCCACGTTTTCCCCCCCTTGAGCGGGGAACTTCTGGATCCATATGTGACGGTTAAAAAATAACGGGCGGGCGGGCGCAGGAAGAGAAAAGGAAAGGAAAGAAGCAAGAAAGAAAGACGTTGGATCGTTTGGAAGGGGGAAAATGATCGCAAGACATGGTCTTGTTCCCGGGGTGATGCTTGCTAGAGGACCATAGCAATGGGATGGATGAGATCTATTGTTTGGAGATGGGCTCAGAATTAATCGAGGACATATACCAGGGAGGTACGGGATATACGTGGGACGACACAGTGGCATAAGATGTATCGCATGGGTATTTCCAGATATCAGCTAGGCATCCATATAAAATTCCCTGGATCACCACAACCTGCCTACTAACCTTACCTACAGGCTACAGGCTACAGGCTACAGCCCAGTACCACCTCATCGATGGATGGTTCATTCATTATTAAGAGTTCCCGAGGGTGAGGATTCCGTGACGCCCAGACGTTTGATGATAGCCGCACACCTCCGATTCGCTGCTATGTATGTTCGTCTACCCCCGGCTCCGAAAGCGCTTCCAGGGTGTCTGGCTGTCTGCATCTTCATCTTAGCGCCCTCGCGCTAAACCCCAGGGGGACAGCAGCAACCAAACGCCCGTCACAGGGGGTGTGTGGCCCGGCGGCGCGGGGCGGGGATCTTCCAGCAGGGGTTCTACCCTGGAATCACACAGACATTGAGAGGGCACGCTACGAGCATGCGCACCCCTCCCTCTTCCTTCACTGCCGTACCTTAGCCTGGTTCCAAAAACGGGCAAAGGAGCCAGGGCATGGATGACATCCATTGTAATAGCACGAGGTTTTATCAGGATCAAGCCTGTTGAAACTCCCCAAGATTCCAGACTCGTGATGCTGTCCGTGTTTGTTTATGGTCTTTGCTTTGGTTATTATTACTGATGGGTTCTGATATCGCAATTTAATTCTTCAGTAGCCTATTTGCAATCATGACCTGACGCTTCTACGCTTTGTACAGTCTATAGTCCGGACGACATATGGACGGGCTATCCCTACCTTGTCATCTATCGTATTGCATCGTATCGCATCACATCACATCGAATTGATCCATTTTCAATCTCTTCGGCTAACTCGTGTCTTAAACTTTGTTGCTAAAAGCAGGAGGTGAAAAAAAGGACATGTCGTTACCGTCCATACCTAGACAGAGTCAGTCAGGTTTGCCGATGTTAGTCCGTCCTGTCTAATCTATCATTCTCCATCCCCAACCTCACACGATCCCACTCACATCAAGAACTATCCAATGCAAACCATGCCTAATGTATCGTCGTCATCACAACGCTCTCGCTTGCTTACGCAGGGGCCAACTCTGCTCAACTGCCGGGCTGTTCCCAAACTTGATTGATACTCCGTTCTGAGTCTTGCCTGTCCTGTCTCTGTGTCTGTGTCTTTTCGTTTTTCGCCCCCCTGAGATCTTCCGCTGATAATGTGATTTCATTGCTTGTTGCGTCTCATCTTGCAGCCCCTTGGCGGCAAAAAGAGACAGAGATAGTACGGAGTGCTGCAGGAAGACAATCGCTCCATTGCCCACCCGCGATGGCACTGCAACGGCGGGTACCAACCAGGGAGTTCCTGGGTTTCGCTTCGAGTCAGGAAATCGTTACATCTGCTCTTCACCGTCTTTGCATGACATAATGGCATCGTTTTGAGAGACCAACGGCGCATGCATTGCATGTCCAGCAAGTCCGCTTCGCCTTTTCTAACTGTCATATCACCTTGGAGTGGTTGCAGTGGTTGCAGTGAGACCGCCACTGATGGCCTCATCACAATAACGGTGCACATAATAATCCAACTTGCATCTACATGCTATAGTATCTCAACATCAATAACTGAGTTTGGTGAACAACAACTCCCTCAAGCTTGGATCGGCTGCAAGGCTGTGGGCATCTCATGAAGATGCGACACAAGGTCATGTTCCCTGTTACGCATGGGAGATCTACCCATCCATGATCCATCCTCTTGGAAACGATATGGCATGTCGGGCCGTGAAAGCATAGGGGTCACCGAATCACACTCGTCACCGCAGGGCCAAGTCACTCCCTCCTCTCCGTTCTTGACCCAAATCCTCGATCCATCCCGCACCTCAAACACTCCGAGATCACAGCTGAGGCATCGAGGGTGGCATGTCAACGCAGTGAGTGCAACGGGGTATCAATATGGACCATGGTCATGGCATGGAGTATGGAGTATGACTGCGGAGTTTGCCGCAGTCCTTTCCTCTCATGGCTGTGCCGTCGGCCATATCGACATCCACTGTGTCCACTCAGGAGGAGGACTGAGGATTCATCCCTTCTGTCAATCAAGGATATTGATCGACAGAGACCCTGTTCCACGAGGGTTCCTATCCTGCCATGCTGCACTTACATGTAAGTACATACGCAGCCTGACTGATGTTAACGCTGCTGCTAATACTGCAGTGCCCTACCATGCAAAAGGTTAAGCTCCGCTAGAACCCGCGGCGCCCGGTGCCTGTCAACTTAGAGCTAGGCTTTACTGGAAGCAACTGCTTTTCCGTGATCCCTATTTGCTTTTGCCGCCTAGCCGAGTATCATCTAACGTCTTCCCAGATTCAACCTGACCAGGTAGCTTGCCAACTTTCTGCGGCAGACTGACTCGGGAGAGAGAGGCACAGAAACTTACTTTCACGATATTATCCCACTTGTAAGACGTCCTCATCAAACAGAACAGGGTCCTCGCCAAGCTCGTGAGCAGTCGTTCGTCATTTCTCGTCTCAGACCATGTCACTCGTCGTAAAAGTCAACTGAGCCAAGCTTAGTGTAGCCAACCACTGCGTCGCAAGCCATCTAAACGAGAGTTTGATATCACACTCCTTACTGGGTTGAGGGAGAACCGAGAAACATCTCACAAATCACTCAACTATACATCGGGCACATTGCCATGTTGGGCCTTGGTGAAAACGGGATCGACTTCGGGAATCGAGGGAGGTCAGGCCAGGTCAGCTGAAAGGCTATGGAATCTGAACCTGTCTGAGCCTGATCCTGAGCCTGAGGCCGAACATCGTCAGCTTCGGTTCCCTGTTGTCGGTGTTTGAATCAGGACTAAACAACAAGGTTTCCCAGGGCTCACAAATAAACTGCGAGTCCCCAGCACTTAATTTAGCATGCTGCGACCCTATTGATGGATCTTCATTTCTGTCAATCATAGTTCATCATACTATACCCCAAGCGAAGAGCCAAAAGATCATGTCATGGTACTAAAAGCCAACAGCCGCACACCGAGTCTATACGTGGACAGTGCTGCAAGTACTTGCTAAGTGTACGTACTCCCCAACTAGACAAGCTTTATCATCTTCACATAAGCAGATTCCACGCACAGCCCGTGACCCAAAAAAGCAAATACAGTACCGTACCGGCCGGTAGAAACACTAAGCCCTGGCTCAAAGGGGGCCCACGCCGGAGCGTCTCAGGTCTCGGGAGCAGGGGCCAGGTTGTGGCCAAGCGCACTTCGCTTCAAAAGCAAGAAAGCCCGAAGGGGAAGAGACCACGCGATGTCACTCTGTCCTAGACATGACAGATCCATCCTTTGCCTTACACTGACACTGGCGACTGACTCTCTACAAACTCTATGTGCTTGCAGTGATCGTCGCCTGGGACCGAACCCTTACACTGATGCTTGCACTCGGATGCGCAGAATCTGTACGCGGAACAAGCCTCAACTCAAAGCACGGGCTGGGATTGAGTAAAATGTCTTATTGTTCGGCGAATATTTTGCTTTTTGGTGAGGTTGCCGAAGGGAATGTTTTGTTTCATTTTGCGGGAGACACAGACAGTTGTGGAGAATCCTTACCTTACCACTCTGTCTCCCTGTTTTTTGTTTTGTTTTTTTACAACACGGAGACATTCAATATTGGGAAAACTACCGATTCCACTGTCTCTGTTGCATTCTTCCTTTTGAGTTCTAACGAAACTGATTCTCCATGGTTTCGAGTTGAAACCTGTTTCACCGCCTTCGTCTTGACTTCAAATGTTTAGACCACAGTCGGACAGAGGCTCTA